AAGTTGAATAAAATAGAAGAATTCGATCGAATATTACTTTATGTTGTATGAATCTTGATTTATGAAGTAAAGGTGACCACTAAGTGAAATTGTTCCGTCCTAATGCCCATTTATTATTTGAATTCTCACTCATTTTCTGTTGCAATCCATTCACGAAGTTTTAAGTAATTAGATTTAAAATCACAACCAATCACTTTTCTCATTTATTTTCGTCAAATAGAAGTTAGGAATAATAAATTAAGTATTAAAGTATAGTCCTCATAGAAACGATAATCCAGATTCGAAAGATCCATTTTACTACTTGTTACGATCCGTTCACTTGCGGGATAAAATCAACAACACCTATAAACATAAAATTGTTGAAAAATGTGTGAAGATAGGATAGATGTCTCTAAAGGAGATTAACATGAAATATCAATTCAATGAGTATTAACTTTGTGATAAAGATGGACGAGACAATTTTACAACATGTATATAATTTTTTCAATATTTTATCAATCGATATTTGTTCTTAATTAATAGGTTTTCAAAATTTCTTCCTTCTTGCACTGTTGAAGAACATAATTATGTCAACACATGTAAGCCTGTGTCAAAGCAACAGGACAACCTAGTGTAGCCTAAGAGAGAGGGAGAATCCCATGTGAAGAAGAAAATATAGTGTGTAGAAGAGAGAAAAAAAGAGAGAGAGAAAGATTAGAGAGACTCTTGAGAGTTTTTTCTTAGAGAGTTTGTAAACTTCGTTTTAAATTCTATTCAAGTAGAAATAGAATTGATTTTCCTCTTCTTATTTTCTCTTCTCGTGATCGGAGAATCATAACAAGTGGTGCCAGAGAGAGGTTTAACAATTCTCCCTCGTAGTTTTTGATATAGCTTCGATTTTGATCAAGCTATAGCCATGGAGGAATCTCTATCGGGAGCTATGATTAAGTTTACTGCCACCAATTACACACTGTAGAGGCCTCGGATGGAAGACCTCTTTTTTTGTAAAGATTTGTATGACCCTCTGGAAGCCAAAGGCGTAAACTCCGATTCTACTAAAGAGACAGAGTGGAAGAAGCTAAATAGGAAAATTATCGGTCAAATTCGACAATGGATTGACCATAATGTCTTTCACCATGTGGCACAGGAGACAGATGCATATGTCCTCTGGAAAACTTTGGAGGACATGTACTAGGCCAAGACTGCTTGGAACAAAGTCCTGTTGATGAGGTGTTTGGTGAATCTGAAATTAAAAGAGTGGAACTTCAGTTGCTGAGCACACCAGTGAATTTCAGAGCTTGGTAAACCAGTTGTCATATGCGGAGATGCCACTCGGAGATGAAATGCAAGCCTTACTACTTTTAATTTCTCTTTCTAATAGTTGGAAGACACTAGCAGTATCTCTCAGCAACTCAACCCCTGATGGCAAACTTACCATATCTATGGTTAAGGATGCCCTATTCAATGAGAGGCTAGGAGAAAAGACGTCAACACAGACCTGTCACATGCCCTTATCACAAAGAACCCGGGTAAACAACAAGGAGGCTCTCGAGGTAGGGAGAGAGGCAGAAGCAAAAGCAGAAGTAGATCCATAGATGGAATGAAGCCTATCTACAAGTGCTTCTATTCATGTGATACCCGCAAGCGTACATGATCGTTGACAAATAATAATAAGTGAGTTAAAAGTTTATCGTCCCACGAGGAATAAGGTTCAATGTCTAGTTCGATAGGTTTTATCAAATCGATATTATCGTAACACAAAAGAGAGTTTAATGTTTTTCTATATTAATCCTAATCTAAGAAAGCGATTAAAATGTATTAATCTAATATTTGAACAAGTGTATTGGAATCTCGAATCCCCCTATTGCCATTTATTTCAATTCTTAATTCGTAATCTAGATAATTTCATGCATTCAAGATAATCGATAATCCACTTTTGTTCAATATTCTTTTTCAAGATATATTAAACCTATTTTAACACGATCCGATCCTACTCCTAGTCCGAATTCATATGAAAAACATGCATTGATTCACAGAATTTATCACACGTGATTGCACATGCCATAGGGATTATTCCTAATACCTTTTGCCCATGTGTTGATTTTACCACGTTCTAGACTTATTGTGAGTATTCCTACACTACAACAAGTAACTTACTATCTAATTGGTGATCAAAACCAATCAAGAAACGCAAGGATAAAACTAAATTACTTGTCTTGAATTAGAAATAAATAAACATTAGGGTTTATCTTATCCAATACATAAAAAGAATTAGCCTAGCATAATTTTGAAATTAAACAAATAAAAGTGGAACGACATCACCGAAATTTAACACATTCCGTTTATACTTATTGAAACAAGATTCAAGAAGCAATAATATACCTCAAGCATAAGGTAGTAATCGAATCACGTCAAATAAATCAATTGAAATTTAAAATCAACAAGTATTTTAATTATTCAATGGAAAAGACATGGTCGAATCCATGAAACATTCAATAGAAGTTAAGCAAATATCAAAGATACAATGAACAATTGAAGTCTTAATCCTAGAATATTTTTCAAAACATAGATCACATCACATTGCATGTATGAGAGAAGGTTGAAATCCCCAAATTCGAGCAAGATCCTTCGTGGCTTCACCAATAGGTTTAGTTCTCCATGGATTTCTTGAGCCAAAAATTAAAAAAAAAAGTGATAGGAGGTTAATGGTAGAAGTTCTAGTCAAGATTAGGGTTTAAAAAGTGTAGGAACCATGTTTCCATAAGTGATTGAGTCAATTAAGGAAACAGAAATTTTGACCTTAAGGAATAACCATGCGACCACATGGTTATAAGCAATGCGGTCGCATGGTGCAAGCCATTTGGGTCTTGGAATTCTCGAGAGGCATACATGTGGCGGCATGGATTTATAACCATGCGACCACATGTTTCAATCCATTTTTTCTGCCGGACAGCTTTCAATATTTTAGCCATAACTTTCTCTCCTGATGTCTGATTAAGGTGATTCAAGTTGCATTTAACAGATAACTCAAAGGGCTAAAACTTCACTTCAGAAATCATCTTTAAATTCAATCATATTCTATGTCAAAAATGCGTCCCAATATGAGACTAAAAATTGGTGCGTAACTTTTTCGATTGTGAATTGAAGTATGATCAAACTTTGACGTTATTTCATTCCTTTGACTTCTTTCTTCATCCACTTGACCTCTAACACTTTTGAATCTTCGTCATAAGCTTAGACACAAGTTTGTACTATTTGCACTTTAGTCCCCAAACTTTCGTTTTCTTCTACTTTGGTCATTTTTCACTTATTTCTTCCGAATTTCATCTTTTCCATCAAAATGCAACCTAAGCCAAAATATAGGAGTAATGAGTGCATTTTTGGCATAATATAATCAAATGAATGCAATAATTAAGAAGGAAAAATATCATATTTTACACTCTTATCACACCCCCAACTTGTTTATTGCTAGTCCCTAGCAATTTAATGCAGAACAAAACAAATGAGTAATTGATTCATATTACAAGTGAAGTTGTTGAGTTCCAATTCAACTGCAGTTCATTATCTTTTCAAACTCAACACCACAAGAAATTAACAATGTTATGATCATCAAGATATCAAAAACACTTGCTAAATTTGTAAGTGTGTGTCAAGCCATAGCTATCTTACCGCCAACCCTATCACATGCAACGTCGAGTGTGTCTCTAGCTAAAGGTCTGGCCCTATAACTCACGTGTATTAAAGTGTTTAGTGCGGAGTTTCTCTCTATGGAGCTTGGAAAGATGCACACTTGAAACATGGATGCTTAAATATTTATGAACAAGCAACAAGCAAATATTGAACACATGATAGGCATACTTTCAAAAAAGAATTCATCAACTTCTTACCACAAATCGACTTGAGATCAAAACAGTCAATGCAAAGGGTATGAAAGGGGTTAAGTTGGGTTATATGAAAAGTATGGTAAAAAGAATTTAAGAACTTCCAAGTATCTAGCTAGACATCTCAACAAGTATTTCAACATAGCAATCCTTTACATCAACGCATTCCTCAACCTTTCAATTCCCAACAACAATCCACTCTCTCTCTTCTTCTTTTTTCATTTTTTTCTGTTTTTTTTTCAATTCCCTTTCCTTTTGTGTTTTCTCTTCTCACCCGAGTACTTGTCATCTCTTATCACTTTCCTCATTACTTTTCTTCTCAAATGGACATTTAACACCTACTATAAACTTGGAAGCATAAAGGTAGAAAAATGACTATTTATAGAATTTAATCCAATGTAAGAAGGTATGGATAACTTAGGCACATGAAAAGAAACTGTTATGAATGTGCATTGGCTCAAAGTGGCTACTAGGGAATTATAATTATGGAAAAGAACTAGTCTGAAGGCTCAAATTCAATCCTAAATTGACTGTTATCATTTCTCAAGTACCACAAACCATGTAATCTTATTCTCAAAAGAAGTTTCCAATTCACAAAACCAATGAATGCTTATTGCCATTTTTAATATGTGATAGCTCTCAATCCTCACCACTCTCACATAAGAAAATCTCAACTAGAGACTCATCTAGCTACATGTGTTAAACCACTATCTTTTCACAAGACTTGTGTGTACAAAAGGATTCAGCAAATGTCTCAATATCCAAATTTTCATGAATAATATTAATTCTTAGTGGTCTAGTAGCAATTAGGAACTTAAAAAAAATTAGACCAAAATTTCATGTAAAGTATGCAATTCACAAGAAAATTTCAAATACACTCCCCCCCCCCCAAACTAAACATTGCAAACAAACATGTCCACCAAATAAAAGTAAGGAAAAACGTCACCTGAATATCGAAGTGAATCAACATAAACTGAAGTGTAATAAGCCTAAAAGTACTCATTGAAAAGGGTAATGCAGAAAATGAAAATAAACTAAAATGCAGTGAATAATGCATGTAATGTAAATAACCTAAAAATGCAATAAATAATGCATGTGATAAAAATAAACCTAAAAACAATGTAAAAATAAGAAAAGAAAGAGAGGGAAAAAGAATTTCCCTTGGGTTGCCTCCTAAGCAGCGCCTTTGTTTCTTATCGTTAGCTTGACCCAATATTGCGTTTTTCAGCCCACATCCAACTAGGGCATTGTTAACACTCTTTGCATTGCACCAAGCTCAGTGGAAATGATCACCGATGGTGTCCCATAATACTGAAAATAATCAAAAGTAACACAAATATCAGCATATTCTCCATTATCGTACCCTGTGGGAATTTCAAAATTTAAAAAGAAAGAATTTAAAGGGTTGGGATCAATAATCGCAGGTGCTTCCTCCTGAACGAGTGCATCAATCATGAATATTTAATGACACTCGTCATCCTCCTCAAGTTGCTTCATGATGTGAAAGATGTTGACGTCTCCAGGGTCATGTTCCCAAATGATAGTTTCATTAGACCATTCCTACAATTAGTAAGAGCATTAGCTATGGCAAAAAAAGGTCTATCAAGAATAATGGGAACTTTGGAGTTGACATTCACATCAACTTTCAAGTCCAATACCAAGAAATCCATGGAGTAGCAAAATTTGTCAATTTGTACCAATACATCCTCAACTACTCCCTTAGGTCTAATGGTAGATCGATTAGGTAATTACAGGACCACAGAAGTAGGTTTGATCTCACCTAGGCCTAACGCCAAGTATATAGCATAAGGCATGATATTTTTACTAGCCCCTAAGTCGAGAAGAGCTTGTGAAATCTCATGGTTCCCTATGACACAAGAAACAATAGGACAACCAGGGTCTTTATACTTTGACGGGACTTTTTGTTCGATTACGGCACTCACATGTTCCGTTAAGAAAGCGATTTTCTTGACATGGTGCTTTCTTTTTATAGTACACAAATCCTTAAGGACTTTAGCATATGTAGGGACCTAGGAAATCACGTGCAAGAGTGCCAGATTGATTTTTACTTGTTTAAGATGCTCTAGGAGTTCACTATGTTGCCCGACGAATTTCGAGGTAGATTTAAGTGCTTGAGGGAATGACACTCTAGATGGATTTTTCACCACCTCCTCGTTAGGGGTTCTCTCTTCTGTATTGCTAGGCACCTTTTCAATTTCCCTAGGTTTGGGGGTTGGTTCAATAACCTTACCGAACCGAGTAGTTATAGCATTAACTTCCTTAAGGTTGTTTTCTCTGAAGCCCGAGGTTTGCGCGATATGCTATCCTCTAGGGTTTGGTTGAGCTTGTGTTGGAAATTTCCCCGCTTCCCTACAGCTAAGGCGTTAGTTAGTTTGGACATATGAGTTTTGATTTCTTTATTTTCCTTAACTAACTGGTCAATCATAGCCTCAAATTTTTTATTTGTTTTACCATGTGCCTGAATAAATGTATGTAAAGTATCTTCTAAGGAATTTCTAGAGGATGTGGGTTGATGTAAAGGTGCATTGTAAGCTCTATGGAATTGGACAGGTTTTTGGTTTTCAAATTTTCAAGTGAGATTGGGGTGATTCCGCCACCCTAGATTATAGGATTCGGAGTAGGGAGTATAAGGTTTTTGATATATGCCTAAAGCATTACAGTGTTCCTCATAAAGTCCCCTCATCTCAGCATAAGTGGCACATTCTTGTGCCAGGTGATCACTCTCTCCACACATAAAACAAGGCTCTGAAGGCTCAACATGGGAAATAGGTCTGGTTGTTTTTTATTCCTTAGCACGTAGAGCTTCAATTTCTCTAGCGAGAGATTCTACCTTAGCTCTAAGGTTGTCTTCCTCTCTAAGATAGTAAATGCCTATGCTAGTTGGGTTTCCTATTGGTCGTGACCTATTAGTACTAGCAGAAGCACTAGGTCCAATCCATGTATGGGCTTTCTCAGCTAAGTCATCTAAGTAGTCTATAGCCTCATCCGGATCTTTTTGCAAAAATTCACCATTGCACATCATTTCAACAAATTGGCGCTCCCTAGGTGATAATCCCTCATAAAAATATCTCACAATGCACCAACTTTCATAACCGTGGTAGGGACAGAGAGCTTGCAATTCTTTGTACCTTTCCCACGCTTAATATAAAGTTTCACTCTCCTTTTGAGTAAAAGAAGAGATTTGCTTTTTCAATGCAATTGTTTTGTGGTGGGGAAAGTACTTATCAAAGAATGCTTGAGTCATTTCAACCCAAGTCCCAATCGAACGTGATTTCAATGAGTACAACTAGCTTTTTGCTCGTTCTTTAGGTGAAAATGGGAAAAATTTAAGCCTGATTGTATTCATTGTACATCGTTGATTGTGAAAGATTGTAACCACTTCTTCAAATTCTAGAATATGCACGTATGGATTCTCATTTTCAAGTCCGTGAAAAATGGGAAGAAGTTGAGTCATTCCCGATTTTAGATCCATGCGTGGCATATTGGGTGGGAACATAATGCAAGATGGCGTGGAAGTGTGTGTTGGGTGAAGGTAATCATGCAAAGTCCTAGTTGGTGTCTTTCTATGTTTACTATCAGTCATTGTGTTGTGTGTTGTGATGTGTGTGTCAACTGATTCAGTATTAAAGAGAGGGTTAGGAAGAGATTCAAATACTGGTTGCGGCCTTGCAATGAATTGTCCCCGCTCTTCCCGATCTCTGTTCAAAAAAATAAAAGTAAATGAGAAATAACAAAATAATTAAGAAAATAAACTAAACTAACTAAAAGAATGTAAAAAAAAAAAAGAACGAAGTCACCCTTTTGCTCGAGAATCCTTCAATTATTAGTACTGTCTCCCCGGCAATAGTGCGAAAATTTGATTACGCCCAAAGTATAACACGATGGTTGTTGTATAACTTCGCGGTGTCGTATCCACAAAAAGATGTAAATTTGTTTAAAGGATCTATTAGCTAAAGGGTTTTCTTCGTGGTTTGTGTAAAGGATTTATCAGTTTGAATGAAATGTAAATATCAATGTATGAAAATTAGTGAAGCACCGGAATTCACTTGCTCAATTTGGTTCAAATAATATCACTTATTCATGCATTTTACTCAAAAATCTAGGCTTCATGTAATACATTCCCACGTTTATTCATTAAAATAAGATTAAGAAACGTCCATAGACACAGGCATAAGGAAGTAAATAATCTCCCAATGACATATTTGAAATTGAAGTTCAATAAATATTTTGATAAAATGACTAATTCTATGAAAAATCTAATAGGAATTAAACCAATTTCAAAATCAATTCATGAAGTGAAACCTAGAACTTGTCATTCTAGAACTTAGATTTCTTAAAAACACATTCCGTTTATACTTATTGAAACAAGATTCAAGAGGCGACAATATACCTCAAGCATAAGGTAGTAATCGAATCACGTCATTAAATCAATTGAAATTTAAACTCAACGAGTATTTTAATTATTCAATGGAAAATACATGGTCGAATCCATGAAACATTCAATAGATGTTAAGCAAATATCAAAAATACAATGAATAATAGAAATCTTAATCCCAGAATATTTTTCAAATCATAAATAACATTACATGCATGAGAGAAGGTCGAAATCCCCAAATTCGAGCAAGATCCTTCGTGGCTTCACCAATAGGTTTAGTTATCCTTGAATTTCTTGAGCCAAAAACCAAAGAAAAGTTATAGGAGGTGAATTGTAGGCGTTCTGGTCGAGATTAGGGTTCAAAAATGCGTGGAACCATGTTTCCATAGGTGGTTAAGGAAATAGAAATTTTGGCCTCGAGGAATAACCATGCGGTCGCATGGTTCAAGCCATTTGGGTCTTGAAATTCTCGGGAGGCATCCATGTGGCCGCATGGATTTATAATCATGCGACGACATGGTTCAACCCATTTTCTCTGCCGCATAGCTTTCAGTATTTTGACCATAACCTTCCCTCCCGATGTCCAATTAAGGTGATTTGAGTTACATTGGATAGCTAACTCAAAGGGCTAAAACTTTGCTTCAAAAAGCATCTTCAAATTCAATCATCTTCCATGTCAAAAATGGGTCCCAATATGAGACTAAAAATCGGTGTGTAACTTTTTCAATTGTGAATTGATGTACGATCAAACTTTGACATTATTTCATTCCTTTGACTTCTTTCCTCATCCACTTGACCTCTAACACTTTCAAATCTTCATCATAAGATTAGACACAAGTTTGGAATATTTGCACTTTAATCCCCGAACTTTCATTTTCTTCTACTTTGGTCATTTTTCACTTGTTTCTTCCGAATTTCATCTTTTCCATCAAAATGCAACCTAAACCAATACATAGGAGTAATGAATGTATTTTGGCATAATATAATCATATGAATGCAATAATTAAGAAGGAAAAATATCATATTTTACACTCTTATCATGTTTTATGAAGGGCCACTTGAAGAATAACTATCGAAAATTGCTATGAGAGCAAGGCCAGAACAGTTCACAACAGAAGAATAAAGAGATACTAGTTACTATTTCTGGTGAGATGTCTATCTACTCCATCGATGAGAAGACATGTCTTCACATATCAAATCAAGATATTGAGTGGGTGATAGATACTGCAACATCTTGCCACGCCACTCCATGTAGAGATTTCATCACAACATACAAAGCTGGCAACTTTGGTGCCGTGAGATGGGAAATACTAGTTTTTCTGAGATTGTGAGAATTGGTGATGTTCAGATACATACGAACCTTGGGTGTAAAGTAACCTTGAAGGATGTTCGACATACACCTGAACTTCGGCTAAATCTACTTTCGGGAATAGCCCTTAACAAACAAGGCTATGTCAATAATTTTAGCAATGACACATGAAAAATGATGAAAGGTTCCATGATTGTCACTCGAGGACATATTTGTTGACACGACCCGTCCCTAATCATCCTATGGATCCGAAACGTGACGTGCGCCCAGTGACGGACGCAGAAATTTTAAATTAATGAGGCACAGTCCAAGGACGGATATAGTGGAGACTGGGCTGGGGTATAGCCCAGTCCTCTCTCCAGCCCACTTAATAGTTTTTAGGGTAGAAAAAAATTCTTTTAAGTAAAAAATAATAATAATTAAATGTATGTGTAAATTTAATTTTTTTTTTACATGTTTGCCCGTTTTGTTACGTATTAATCCGACTAATAATCCGATTCTGGATCCGTCCTGGCACAATCAAAATTGCAGAAAAGTTGTAAAAAAATAAAAATAAAAATATTCGATATGCAACAAAATGGTTAAATAGGATGCTTGGAAAATAAAAATAAAATGCTTGAAAAGAATATTACCGATATTTATGGATAACCAAAACACCTCGATCTGACTACTCTAGATCATCACTATTAAATTTAGACATGACAAATAAAATATTATGAAATGAAATAAAGTTATACAACTTTGACCACTAAGACCACTATCCAATTTTTTTCACTCAAATGCCAAATGAAAATTTCTGATTCCAGCAAAACAGATGGTGGCATCCATGACTCTCTCCACTCACCACTCTGTCAATCTCTCTCTCTCTCTCTCTCTCAATACTTTGCCCTCTCTTTCTACTCTCTGTTTCTCTCACTTTATTTGTTCATGATACATACACAATACACACAACCAAACACATTCATAGTCGGTTGTATCAATGGAAGACAAGAAGAGCATTCATCAACATCAACATTAGAAAGAAGAAGAATAGAATGAGTTTTTATTTTCCAAGGGAAGGGAACTAGGGATGGATTTTGATTTTTCAATTTGGACATTGAGTCCTCTTCTGGGTTCTACTCATCTGCTGCAAAGGGATGAAAATGAAGGCCTAAAAAAATTTCAATTTTTGGAAGTCTGGTGGGTCACGTGACCCACCAGGACCCACTGTGGGTCCGCCCCTGCGTGCAACGATGGTAGACGCTGACTAGATGCCAAATTTATCACCAAGGCTGACTATGAATTACTATAAAATATGCGTCCAAATCAAATATTTATGAAAAACATAGTGCAATAGGCCCAATGTAATTACTTCATGTTTTATCAAATTCACTCATATCAATCAATATGTCGTATGGTTCTAACTCTGAAATCATCAGGCTCCTCAAGCTATCAGGGACCAATACTACATGTAAGAAAAATATGAGTTGATGACTCAGTGAGTGGAAGACTTCGAGAATATTTACACTTCCTCATTTACACTTTTTTTTTTTTATCAAACATCAAGTTCATATCATTTAATATTTCACATGATAGCCTGATACATTTATAGGCAAATAGTGAGACATTCTCATAACACTGTAAATATTATCTCATAATCACGTATAGTCATCAGCTGATATTTATAACATCATCTCATCACATCACATATGATCTAGACAAAAAATGTAGCATCTGACTAAAATATGTGATTCGCCCCTCGGGCTAATTACTTTCGCCACGAGCCTTTGGCCCCCTTCGTAAACGAAAATCGATCTCAAGACCTCTGGTAATCAATTCTAGAACACGATCAAAGCCCACTCAATGAACTATATGTACACGGTCATGACCCCTTCATCCCCAGTCGACCCCTCAGTGTAGTATAGAACACGACCAAAGCCCACTCAGTGAATTAGAAGAAGTATGTAATTAGGGATACTTTTCTGATCGATCTCAATATCACATGTTTCACGTTCCAAATCACAAATAAAGCATATCTAATATTTGAATTCCACAAATATCATAATGAAAGAATATTTCCAAAATAATCATGTAATCGAACATATAACTGCACATAATGTATTGGTATAATTAATTTATCAATATTTGAAAATATTTAAGTTTTTCCACTCACAAATCCATGGATAAGAATCTAATTAAATTGATGAGCCTTTTCCAAGCTTTGACATCATTACCTGAAATAAAGGTATAATTGCTCAAATTAAAACTGGCCATTTAAATTAATGCTAATTCACTACATAATTCCTCCGCTTCTATAATTCTTCTTGCATCTCTATTTTTCCAACTTTACTTCTCTTTGTTTATTTACCAACCAATCACCATACAATCAAATCCATTAAGTTACTATGCTTTCTTAAAATCACTATCTTATACATATATGAAATTTAGCACCGAAACCATTAACAAAAATAGGGCTTTTCTGCGCAGAATTTGAAAATCAGCACCTGTATAGGATTTGTCCAATATTTGCTGGTAATAATTGCTTAAAATGGAAAATTCAGCCTCAATTCCTTGATTTAAATGCTTGACATTATATAATCCCAACAAAATCAAAGAATAATCATCTATTTCATAAACCCATTTTCAAAGTTTCATTTTCTTAGACACCAATCTTCCAATATACTTTTCTTTGACATATTCATGCTTAATACCTCAAATACATGTTGATAATCTCTAATTCGTGCTAAATCTTGAATTAAACTAAATTTCCATAAACCCAAAAAACCTTCAAGGAACATAAATTTTTATTCACCTCTTGAAGATGAGAAGAACTAAGGAAGGAAGACCTAAAACTTAAGAGAAACCGGCCACCCCTGATGTAGGATAAATAAGAAAGAAAGAAGAAGGAACGGGGAGGAGAAACAGTGAGAAGGGAGAAGAGGAGAAGAAACCAGAGGAAGAGAGGGGAGGAAGAAATGGCTGCAAGCCACCAAAAAATATTTCAATTCTAATTCATCATCAACTGTCTCAAATAAGAAACAAAACTGAAATAAATAGCAGAACACAAACCCTAAAGAGAAGGGCTTGGGCCAAACCCACTAAACAAGCCCAATAACGAAAACATAAACAATAGTCCCAATAAAATATAGCTAATAGTCCAAATAGAAAATAAATAATAAATGGATGTCCGCATCAACTCTCCCGGGGTGGGAGAAAAACTCGACCCCGTCGAGTAGATGAAGCAGAATGTTGCACTGAATCTGATGCGAAAGGCTCCAAGTCATGCCACGGGGGACGATCTTTCTCGATGACCAAATACCGAAACTCCACAAATGATAATAAGGATAGTTGTAGCTTATCCTCAAGGATATAATCCAACCAAGGAGAACGATCTTTCTTTGTAATCAAGTACCGACATTGGACTCCAAATAACAAGTACTCTTGCAACTCATCTCCAAAATCTTCACATGATTGCGCATAATGTTGAGCACAATAAGAACGTTGATCTACCCAACAATTAAAGAAGCACCGATTCTCTCCATCAATGGTTAACACAACCTGTTCATCTAAAATTACATCAATTTTATCTTTGTGTGCTGCGACAGGTGGTATTCGAATAGACATGGCAAAAGATTCGGTGTGGGAGTTCTCAGGTAGAGATAGAAAAGGATCAACAAAAGTGTTAAAATAGCCATTGTAAATATCGAAATCCTTAACAAATAAAATAGGGTGATGGTCATAATATGATATAAGATCATTGACATAGACATTTTGACCAACATGCTTTGAAATTTTAAAAAGACCAGCATTACACGCTTGCAATATAACATAATCCCCAATATTAAATTCAAAGTATTGTTTATGCCAATCAACTTGAGGTTTATATAATGCTCTTGCTTCAAATTGTTTATTGATCTCAATATGCAAGCTATGAAAATGTGATACAACTACCTCAACTGACATAGACACACAAGCATATGAGTGCATGGAAATAAGGTCTAGAGGTTTCAAAGATTTACAACCAAGAATAATTTCAAAGGGTTTTAGACCTAAAGACCAGTTCACAGGATCGTTATATGCAATTTGAACAGTTGGAGGGATCAAGTCCCAATTTCCAAGATTTTTCTGGACTAGAGACTGTAATAAATTGTCAAGATTTTGGTTAGCACTTTTGTTTTGACTATCAATTTGAGGTTGGTCAGTGGTGGATAATTTTGCCTTAGTGTTAACCACAGGCGACTGGATTTTCCGAGGGTGACTGGTGACATCATCAAACTCTTTAACTTGGGTAAGGGTATAACATAAAACATGTAATCGAGAATTGTCGGAGATAAGGGGTATAGTATCCAAAGTCTCGAGAAGAGTCTGGATTCCACCTAAGGAAATGTCCTCACTATCATCCAAGTCATCAAAATCTTCAAATTTAGGTTCATAGACTAGATCTTCTAACGGCTCCTCTATTACATTCTTTCGTTCTTCTATGGCTAAGGTTCGATTAGGACATTTAGAAGAAATGTGACCAAAGTCTTTACAATTGACGCACAACAAGTGAGAAGAAGACCTTGGAGTTTCAGAAATTCTAACCTGATTTTTCAAGATTGGAGAACCATTAGAAGGGGGAGGTCCTAGAAGGGACTTAATGGGAGGAGGTGGAGTCAATGAAGCCAAATGATGATTATAAAAAATTTTACTCTTATTTTTCAAAATTGGAGGAATATCAGACGGGGGAGGTCCTAGAAGGGACTTAACGGGAGGAATTGGAACCAATGACACCGAAGAATGATTGTCCATATGCTTTCTACATGGAAAAGAAGATCTTGGACTATCACGACCTTTACAATTATTTTTCCAAATAGGAGGAACATTAGACGGAGACGATTTTATGATAGACTTATGATGAGGCGACGCTAATGAGATGGGTGAGCGACGATGACCACGCTTTTCATATGGAGTACTAATAATCAACTCATAATCTCGAGCTAAAGAGTAAGCGTGATCAAGAGTAGTGACACCTCGAAGGAAAAGCTCGCGCTTAAGATCATCTCTCAGACCTTGGCTAAACCTACTCAAAGTCGTGCTCTCATCCTCAATTAAATGACATTTGGTTCGAAATTCCTCAAATTGCGCTATATATTCAGTCACTAATTGATTTCCTTGTTTAAGGGCATTCCATTGAGTAAGAATTTCAAAATTATCTCGTTCTCGCTCACGAATCTGATCCCTATTCCTATCCCTATCCTTACGATCGGGTCGAAAGTATTTTTGATTACCTTGTCGACAATGTTGTCTATTATGGGACACCTTAGAATTATCAACATCAATCGAATGAGGGATGTGTTTAAAATTTTTCAAACTAGCAGATAGGACTTTACTCTCTTCAATAGTAGCGGTCATTTGAGTTTGAATAGCCACTATTTGTTGGGTGAGTGCATCGAATTGTGAGGGGTTCATGTTTAAGGTACTAGAGCTAGAAGTGACAAGATGATCAATATGTAACTACATGCACTGTAATAGCAACTTAATGACATGCAATAGAGAGATCAACGAACAAAAAGTGCAAGTAATGGAAAATGAAAATTTGAGCTAATTTTTTTTTAAATTTAAATTTTGGGACTAAAATTATATACAACAAGCTAGTACTGCTGGTATATGTAAAATAATAAAGCAATGGTCAAATACTAGTCAAAACCCAATCACGTAAAATAAGCAGGTTAAAGTGAGATTTAACGAGGTCAATGGATCCAATTACGTGAGTTTAGATAAAATAGATCAGTAGCAGCACAAAAATTTAATTGATGCAATTTCAAAATGAAACAGTAATATAAACCAACAATAAATAAAAGCAAGAACTTCGCTTTCGTTCGTCGAAGTAGTCAAATCAGATCAACCAGAATAAAAGATGTACCTGTAAATAATAGAAAAGACGTTTCTTCTCTCTTTTTTTCTTTTTTTTCCTTTTTTTTTTCACTTTTTTTCACTTTTTTTTTCTTTTCTTTTTCACTTTTTTTTCTTTTTTTTTTCAATTGTTTTTTCCTTTTTCTTTTTTTTTTTCTTTTTTTTTCAATTTTTTTTTTTGGGAACTGTAGAAAACGATAAACAAAAAATAAAAAATAAAAAAATTCGGGTGTGAACAGTACCCGTGAACAGTAACGATTTTTTTTTTTTGTGAAACTGCTGAAATATCTATAAAAAAAAATGAAATTCCGAGTGTGAACAGTACCCGTGAACAGTGATTTTATTTTTTTTTAACCTAGGAAGGAAAACTGCTATCTTCCAACAAATCCTTTTCGTTTCTGCTGTTCAACAAGTTTTGGGAAAAGGGAGAGAAGAAAATTTTGAATTATAAGAAAAAAATACCCAAGATTTAGCTCTGATACCAAATTTGATGTAGGATGAATAAGAAAGAAAGAAGAAGGAACAGGGAGGAGAAACAGTGAGAAGGGAGAAGAGGAGAAGAAACCAGAGGAAGAGAGGGGAAGAAGAAAACGGCTGCAAGCCACCAAAAAATATTTCAATTCTAATTCATCATCAACTGTCTCAAATGAGAAACAAAACAGAAATAAATAGCAGAACACAAACTCTAAAGAGAAGGGCTCGGGCCAAACCCACTAAACAAGCCCAATAACGAAAACATAAACAATAGTCCCAATAAAATATAGCTAATAGTCCAAATAGAAAATAAATAATAAATGGATGTCCGCATCAACCCCTCTCTTCTTCTTCTTTTTCTTTCTTTTTCCTTCCTCTTTTTCTCCCTTTTTCTCGGTTCTTCCAGTTCTGCTCGTTTCCAGATTCTTCAGTATGTGTATCCATGTGCAAATGACGTGAAAAATGGTTTTTAAATGGCCACTAACTGATTTTTGCAAAGGAAGTCACTCTTCTTCGACTTAACCTAACATTTAGTCATTAACTTTCAATAATATATAAGTAAATCTCCAAAATTAAATTTTATCCATCTAAAACCTTCAAATATTGCAAACTTATAAAATAAGCCCCAATAAAACATTTTGGTCAATTAAGTCTCAATAAAATTATTTATTTCATTTAAGTCCCTATTTGACTTTGACTAAAAATGAGAGGTGTGACAATCTTACCCCCTCAAAAGAATTTCGTCTTTGAAATTCAATAAACTAGGATTTAACCACAAAGAATTAGTACATAATTTGATCCGTCACTTAGACCATAATGCCTCTTTCCTTAAATGATTTCTCAAACAAACCTTAATTAGTCACAAAACTTATTCTTTTCTATCCTACTATAAACAACATCCTATGGACCAATAATGACATTCCCAACTTTTCATTTTACCAAATCTTAGAAAAATTTAGCTATTTCCCAATTTGAAGTTCGAGATACGACTTTTCATATTCTCCAAAACTTTTATCTTATATGATGATTTGAAATGTTTTTTAATCAAATCCTTTTTCTACAATGATGGTAACAAATTAAGACCGACTTACTTTCTTTTGCCAATTTCATCACAATCTTTCAATATCCACATATAACCTCAAATATCATCACTTGTATCTAGTTCTTATATGTCTATTCCATGAAACTAAATGGTTATCCAAGGCCCCTTTAATTAAAAAATCATGATTGATAACCTTTCTTCACACGTAATTTAGTTATACAACACCCTACATCTAAGACAAAGACAGATACTCAAACTCCATCATATAAATAACAATTTCCACCATTTCGAATAAAATATACCTTAAACTCTGATGATCCATAAGTATTGATATTTCTTGCAATGTGATGACATAATCCCAATATAACCAACTCCAAATCATGTTTTAATCATGTCTCCTCAATAATCTATCATATAATTCATAATTCCTCATTTTACTTCAGAACATGTTCTAAACCTTAACA